GTGTTGTTTTGTTTTTATCTTTGTTGTTATTTTATTATTGGCTTTTGTTCTCTTTAAAATAAAAAAAAGCTAGCTGGGCCTGGTAGCACACACCTGTAATCCCAGCACTCAGGAGGCTGAGGCAGAAGGATCATTAGAAATCTGAGGCCAGCCAGGGTTACAAAGTGAGTTCAAGGCCAGGCTGAACTGCATAGTGAAATGCTGTCTCAAAAAGATAAAAAATAAAGAAAAAATAATAATCAGCAAATGCAATGAGTGAACCCAGAGTAGATCTCAATTTTGGGACAGAAAACAGCTTTAAAAATCATTCTTAAGGCAAGTCATAAATTTTGAAATGCAGAAGATGAAAATGGTACTCGACGATTATTAGTTATCAATTCCTGTGTAACACATTGCCCCAAACTTAGTGCTTTAAAACAACAAGCACCTACTTGTTGCAGTTTCTAGGGGTCAGGAATGGGCCATGACCTTGCTGTGCGGCTGTGGGTCACAGTCTCTCCTGAGGGTGCACTCAGCCGTTAGCCTGGACACAGTCATCCCGCGGCTGGAATGACAGGGGATTCCCTTCGCAGCTCGCTCACACGGTGGCTGTCCAGCCTGAGGTCCTCGACGTGTAGGCATCATAATAGGCTGCCCGTGTGTCCCTACCACATGAGTCTTTCCCCAGGGCCACTTCACAGCACGGCAGTGGGCTTCTCTCAAGCACAAGTGACTCTGGAGAGATACGACAGCCAGTGCACCAAAAAGAAGCCACAGTCCCCTCACCTCTCACCTATTCTATTCGCTAGAAGTAAGTCGTTAATCCATACTCAGGAGGGAATTAAGCTCTATTCTCAAGAGAAGGAGAATCAGAAAACATGTGGGTTTTGGAAAAGCAGTCAGGAACTGAACACGACTCTGTAACCTATTTTTCCAGGCGGTTCTGCAGATCCACGCATTTGTGTGTGTGGGTTTGTGCATCCGTGTGCCTGTGTGACTGTGTCTAAAAGGCGAATGGGGAAAAATGCCAACAAACGTTGCTTCCGGGAAGATGAAGATGGATGTTCGCTATCACTGTCCTTCACTCTTTGTTTATGTTTGCAATCTTTCATCAGAAACGTGAGAGTTTCTGTGAACCAAATTGTGTTCCTCCAAAACTCACACGAGAAAGCCCTACTTCCAACACATGGGTGTTTGGAGGGGGGCCTTTGGGAAGTGATTACATTTAGAGGAGGTCATCAGGGCCTGCAAGATGAGATTATTGCCCTCCTAAGAGGAGACACCAGAGATCTCTCCCTCTCTGTCTCTGTCTCTGTTTCTGTGTGTGTCTCTCTCTCTGTCTCTCTCTCTCTCTGCCTCTCTCTCTCTCTCTTTCTCTCTCTCTCTCTCTCTCTTTCTCTATCTCCCTCTCTCTGTCTCTCTCTGTCTCTCTCTCTGGCAGAGCAAGAAGATAGCTATTTGTTAGCCGGGAAGAGGACCTTCATCAAAACGCAACCATACCTACACCTTGATTTTGGACCTCTAGCCTCCAGAAGTGTGAAGCATAAATACATTTGATCTAAGCCCTGCCGTCTGGGGGACTTGGCTTGGTTTGGTGTGTGGAGCTGAAGGTCAAACCCAGGGCCTTCTACATGTTAGGCAAGCACTCTAGCCCTGAGCAGCACCTCTAGGCAGGCCTGTGGTATCATTTGGGATGGCAGCTCAAGCTAAGACAAGATGTTGTTAACAATGATAGTCTTTACTCTGTCCTAGAAGCTGAGCATCAGGGCAAAAAGCCAGTGGAGGAGGATTTGTTGACCCATGGAATTAGGGGGGAACTGGAAATCACTATCATTGTGTGGGCAGCTGTCACATCATGGTGATGTCACTGGGGACAGGGGAGGCCCAGGGAAGACAGCTCTTCCTCACACACACCCATTCCACACTGGCCCCTAGTCCTGGGAGACCCCCTGGGCCTTCGCCCCTCCTGAGCCTCTTTGGGACGAGCGCCAGTCATTATCTGACCTTACCAGGGCGGGTTGCCCCCCTCCTACAGGTTTTTGGTAACTGGTTGCATTAGCTCATTTTTGCTTTAGGAAGTGGATCGCTAGTATTAATCCAATATTAATCCAGTAATTAGTTTGCAACAAAGCTTAAAAAACATGATTAATGATTATACAGTATTGAAAGCACGGTGTTAATTTTCCTGCTCAAACAAACTCTAGCTAACTTGAAAAGATCAGGCAATTCACTGTGTTTTTTAAAAACTTAGATTTCTGTTGCTTCTTTTTGTTGATGCCCCTCAAAATCACAACATCCATATTCTTTGATACAGAACGTATACTTCTTGAATTTTTTTTTTTAACCTTACTGGGTATTGAACCCAGAATCTTCGTACTATACTACATCTCAAGCCCCACCCCACCACTTTTTTAAAAAAAAGTTAAAACAAGATGGTGCTTCATCACCCATTTGTCCAGGCTGGGCTCCAACTTGAGATCCTCCCACCTCAGCTCCCTAGAGCAGAGGATTATGGGTGGGTGCCACCACTTTCAGCTTACGGTTTTGTTTTCTGTGATTCATGACACATGAACACATGCATGACATTACTTGTAGTGGACTTATTGATAATAGTGTGTACTCTATTGCCACCTGTTAAAGATAAATACAAATAATATATATAATATATAATAGACAAATCCCTTTTTATGCATACACACACGCTGAATATTTCTAGAAGCTGCATAAGACACTATAACAAGTTTTCTCTGCAGAGACTCAGGAAGCTGAGAAGAAAGATACTCTGTTTGTTAAAAAATAAAACTTATATTTTTAAAACAAATTTTTAAAATATCCTTAAATATGACTGAAGTTAGTCATCTTTACAAATTCTTTACTCTTAAGTATTTTGTATTTTTTTCTAATTAAAAGACAACTGACAATTGCAATCCCAGCATTCCGAGAGGCTGAGGCTGGAGGCATACAAATTTGACCCAATCTTGGCAATTCAAGCCCTGTCTCAAAATCTAATTTTTTTTCTTTGTTTGGGACAGGGTCTCACTATGCATATGCAGTTCAGGCTGGCCTTGAACTCACTATGTAGCCCAAGCTGACCTCAAACTTGCAGCAATCTACCTGCCTCAGCCTCCCAAGTGCTGGGATTACAGGCGTGTGCCACTGCAACAGGCTTCAAATTTTCAATTTAAAAAAGGGCTGGGCATATAGCTCAATGAAAAGGCCTGGGTTCAATCCCCAGTACTGTGTCAAAAAAGGAAAAATGATATCTACCCAAGGGCCTTCACCCTGCCTGCCCCTACCCCTCCCGCTGACAGCAGCCCTTTGAAACTGTAGTCTATATTTCTAGTTCGTCCCTCCCACGTCTGTTTTACCATTTCTGCTTCTTAAACCTGATCCCAGGCATGTGAGAGTACACACACACACACAGACACACACAGACACTGACAGACATACATGCACACTTCACGCGCTGTACCTGGTTCAGCTTGTCCTTCTCCTCTGCCCAGGAGATAGCTTTCCCCTGCTCTCTGCGGACGTCGGACGCCAGCCTCACGATCGTTTCTCTGTTAGCTTTTGCTTCCATCTCATGGACATTTATAGTCTCTTCAAGACTAGCAATTTGTCCCTTCATGAATGTGCTTTCCCTGCACAGCTCTCGAAGCTGAAAGAAACCCATCACAGCTGTCTTATAAAAATTAACAACCCCGTGCACTTGCTCTGAGCAACTCGCCATCTAGACCCAGTGGCGGCACGCCCATGCACAGCCGTGTGTGCGCAAGATCGCACTTGTCAGAGGCGGCCTCTAAACTTGTCAGGCGAGGTGGGTGGCAGGTGCACCCCAAGCTGCCCGCACAGCCAGCGGCCCACACCCCGGCTGCTCTGCAGAGGTGGTTGCAGGCGGTGGGAGCTACGCTCAGCCCACATCCGGGCACTTTCTGGCACTGAGGGAGACAGACGGGGCTGCTGCATTCTAAAAAGTGCCCTTCTGACTAATATGCACAGAAAGATTCTGCATAAGATGCTCAAACAGTGGCTGTCACTGAGGCCAGGATTAGCAGGCTTCTTCTGCGTCCTGTGCCGTGCCTGGGAATTGCAAACTGGGAGCATCTGTAAAATTCAGGAGGAGGAAAATCCCAGCAAGCAGGCTCCCTGTGATCAGGGCACGGGCCGCACCACAGCAAGCGCTCTCTGTGGGCCCTCGATGACGCCCACAGGAAAATGTGGAGACCCATGGGACAAGGTGAGCATGTGATGACGATCTAGGGAAGCGACCCGTCGCTTAAGCCTCAGCCGCTGCCATCACTGCACCATTGCCAGCTCGGTGCTGTCCCCTCCCTGTGGACCACTCTTCATATTTACATGCTCACACCTCAGTACTTCAAAAGTGCCCGCCTCCGGGACACTGATTGGCCATCTGCCTAAGCCAACGCCCCACACTTCTGATTTCCATTCTCCATTGCTAGATCTTCATGGGGTTTTCTTCATGTCCCTTTTATCGTGTGGAATAATGTTCAATAGTTGTTAATCTCTTCATCACCTTTACAACACAATGGTGAAAGCCTTAAAAAATTAGCTGTCCCAAACCCAGCATCTAGAATAGGGCCTAGCACATAAGCACTCACTCATATAGGTGAATAAATACAGAAATAAATTATTAGGAATGCCTCCTCTCCATCATGGACCCTTCAGGGTGTGTGTGTGTGTGTGTGTGTGTGTGTGTGTGTGTGTGTGTGTAAGAAAGTGTAAAGGTGAAAGAACTGCTTTGAGATGGGAGAGATTTTGTTCCTCTTCTCGGCTAAACACTGTATGAGGCTGTGGTCTTGATTCAAACACCAGACTTCCTGCTCTGGGATGGGAACTGTTTGAAAGGCAGCAGCTGCTCCGGTGGTGAGCCCGGAGATAGTCAGGACCACTACACTAACAGGAGACAGGCAGAATCCTGGGCCCTTATGCTGCTCACTGAAAGCATGATCTGTTCTCTCTTAGGACAGTAAAAGACTTCAAAGCTATCTTTGCTACGAGCCATGATTCCTCACTTGAGCCTGCAGATGCCCAAGCTTGACCTTTTGTACCTTTGCTACTATAAACCTTGGGTCAGGTCCGTCTCGGCCCAGCATAGCACAGTATCGATCACTCAGGGAGGGTCTGCCTAAGAGCTGCCAGACGGGGTTGATTAGCCCTGAATTTACATGCTCTTATCTCCCTTCCAGATTGAGGACCCCAAGGTAAGACAAGGCCATTGAGCTATACCCAGAAGCCACCAGCCATTGTCCTAAACCTACAGTCAGCTGGGTTCCACTGAGCCCTACGTGACTGAGCCCACTACAGACAGAGACAATTCTTTCCTAGAAACAAGACCATCCCTCTGCCATCAAGATTCCAGAACTGTGACACCAAGCTAAGATCAGGAACAACCAGGCCCCAGTTTACCTGCTAATCCTCGAAATCTGCTCTCTTGCCTTTGCAGGTGAACCAGTCTGAACCCCTGTATCAGAGTGTGTCCCCCACCAGCCACATCAGCTGGAGTATTTCCCTAACTTTCCATGAAATCTTGGGGGAGGGGGGTGTTGTTTGTTTGTTTGTTTTTGAGACAGAGTCTCACTATGCAGTTCAGGCTGGTCTTGAACTCACTATGTAGCCCAAGTTGGCCTCCAACTCACAGCACTCCTCCTGCCTCAGTGGCAGGATTTCGAGCTTTACCACCAGTTCAGTTTTAACTTTAAGTCTACTAAAACAAGGACCCACACTAGCAAGACACAGTAAGAGCCCAGAATCCCACTGTGTGTTTTGAAATATAAGTCCTGTATTATGCCGGTATAGAGAAGGCAATAAAGCAAGAGACCACTGCTACAAAAAAGTCCACTACTCATAGTTCCCAAGGGGAGCACAGGCCAGGCCAGGCCACACAGGGCCACTTGGAGAAGTCCCAAAGCCAGTCCGGAGGCACAGGGAATTGGGCCAGAGGCGTCACTGTGTATGCCATGGAAGGACCATGCCCACAGCGCTCAGTCGGCCAGCACAGTAGGTAGGCTGGGGGGAACAGTCTCAACTCTGGGGTGGAGGAATTCTCCAGAGCTGGCCGGTATCTGGCCCTGGAGTGATAAGAAAAGAAGACAGTGGCCAGGAGCCTAGGAGCCAGACCCTGGAAGGGGCGTGGGTGGCTTAGTCTGCACATGAAAGCTGTGCTGGGGACAGCCCTTCACTACCTCTGGGATTGGCTGACTCTGGCAGGGGCAGTCTCCTGGGCCCCAGAGGGCAAGGCATCAGGAACACAGAAAGTAAAAGGGCGTGGTTAACACAGTATTAACCCCCAGACCGGCACCCACATTGCCTCTGATAGAGGAGTGTCCAGAAAAGGAATTTCTGAATTTGCTTTTCTTCTCCCCACCACTTAGTTTGAAAGATAATCCCCTCAACTGCGGTGTAAAGGGGAGTCTGTGGCAGTGGGACTCCTGGTCCCACATTAGCCAGGAGGGGAAGGCATGCCCAGCACCCACGGGGTGTCAAGCATTCTCCTCCTGAGCCAGCGAACCCATCAGTGAAGTGGATACTTCTTGTTAAAGAAAATAAAATCTTACTGTAGCTTATGGAGGACCTGAGGGAGCGGATTAGCAGACAACTGAGAGGTGGCTTTTTAAGGATAGCCAGGGGTTAGGGGTGTAGCTCAGGGGTAGAGCACTTGTCTGTGCTGGAGGCCCTGGGTTTGATCCTCATCACTGGGAGAAAAAAATAAATGATTTTGTTTTGTCTTTTCTTTTTTAGACCAGGCTGGCTTTAAACTCTTGACCCTCCTGCCTCAGCCTCCCAAGAGTTGAGATTACAGGCATGTGCCACAGGGTCCCAACAGTGACTTTGTGAAATGAGCAAAGATGCCATACGCATTCAAATCTTTGTGAGGACCCTAACGGATCACTAGGGGCTACATGAATTACTCAGTCTATTTCACTAACTTTCATTTTAATGACAGTCACCATTAAAATGGGATTTTTAGAGCTGGTCCTGGTGGTGCATGCCTATAATCCCAGTACTCAGGAGGCTGAGGCAGGAGGATCGTCCCAAGCACAAGACCAGCCTGGGTTACAAAGTGAGTTCAAGGTCAGCCTGAACTGCATAGGGAGACCATCTCAAGAAGACAACAAACAAACAAACAAAAAATAGGATTTTTATTATTTGGCTTTAATGTAAAATTTTAAAAATACTTTAGAGCCAATCTTAACCTTATACCCAATAAATGTAATTGACACATGCCTGGGGTGTATGTGTATGTTTGTGTGTGCATGTGTGTCTGTAACTAAAAAGAAAAAAACTGTCCTAAAACATGTCATTAAGATGAATAATTAATTGCATTTGACAACCTGAATATATTTTAGACAAAACAACTCTTTTTGGAGACTAATTGATCCCAAATAATACTAGGAAGGATCTTGGATTGAGGCTCAGGGAAGTGATATGATCAGCCCCAGGTCAGACAATTAATTAATACTCCACTTGGGCCACCGTCCTGGTCTCCTGCCACCACCCACTGCAGCACGTTCCTCTGTGACCTGTCAGGATGACCCTGTGTTTACAGGCTTTTAACCTGCGTACAAACACCTTTAAAATGAGATCTGCATCGGATGCCTCCTGGTCCTTCCGGTCTGGGTCCAGGCAGTCCCAAAGCTGAGTCAGAAAGTCCACGTGCTTCCTGCAGTTCTCCGAGACTTGCTTCTTATTGTCCTCACTTTCCTTTGCACACTTTCTACAAGGCAGCAACAGATGGGTCAGGGCTTAACACCACAGCACTCGCTGCTCATCGAACCAACACAGAACGCAATGGAAACGTAACCTGGGGCCCAGTGCTTTATAAGTATGTTATCCTGCGCCTAGCAACAGGACAGGAGACAGATTCTTTACCTGTTTTACTCACGTTAGCATCTGTGGAGGTAGGGGCAGGCTCCTGGGTGGCACATGGGCCCTTTCTGTGCACGGTCACAACCCACATAGCTGTGACTCACATGGGGAATGAGAATCCCACCGTTTTTGTTCTAGAAGACCAAGCTCCACTCTCTGGTGAAACATTAGCCAGTGATCTACAAGGGTCCTGGTTCATGGCCAAGCGTAACTATGATACAACACACAGAAGAGAGGGATGTTCCCACCTCAGGCAAAGAGAGGTGTTCTGCCGCCAGAAGAGAAAGTCATTTGTTCCCACAGACCCAGCATCTTTAAAGAGCACTGGAATTGCCAGTCAGGGAAAATCAAGATTTTTTTGTTCTGTTCTGAATATTTTATTTCAAAATCTCAGGTTTGTTGAAATACTGGAGCCTGTTTTCAATACTTTAAATGTTAAAGATTAAGAGATCATCAAGAAATAGACATAATTTAAAGGCAATTAGAATGATTTTAGTAATTTGGTATCATTTTTTTCAATACCATAGATAATAAACGTGATCATTGCTTTCCCTTCTGACCATGTTAAGTGTTTACTGCAAATTTTTTCATTCTGTTCAAAAATCAACAAAGGCCGTAATTGCATATGCTCACAAGCTTATCATCATGTTTCCATTTAGTAAAAAGTATTCCAAGCCCAGAGTGGTGGCACACACCTGTAACTCCAACTGTGGAGGAGGCGGAGGCAGGAGGATGGCAAGTTCAAAGCCAGCTAGGCAACTTAGCAAGACTCTATCACAAAATAAAATAAAGGGATGATGATGTAACTTAGTGGTAGAGTACTTGCCTAGCATGCATGAGGCCCTGGGCTAGAATCCCAGTGCTTAACTTTTTTTAAAGTACAATAATAAAGGACTAATATTAATATATTTATGACTCCTTGTTTTCAGCACATGAAAGACCATATTTATTTGGTCTTTGAAAAAAAAAAAAAAAGAAGCAAAGAGACAGGTAGCCGAGGATATAGCTCAGTGGCATAAGCGCCTGCCTGGCAAGCACAAGATCCTGAGTTTGACTCCAGGTACAAAAAAAAAGAAATATTTGGTCTTTGGGGTCCATGAAAGGCACAGTTAGTGCTACAGCTTTGGTTTTTTGTTTTTGTTTTTGTTTTTGTTTTTGTTTTTGTTTTTGTTTTTGTTTTTGTTTTCCGGTACCGGGAATCAAACTCACAACCTCGCACTTGCCAGGGAGGCGCTGTGCTGCTGAGCTAAATCCCCAGCCCCTAGTGCTACAGCTTTGATTGATTTATATATATGATCTCATACTCTACCTCCAAGATTTCTTCATTCCCAAGGTGTCTGCTAACCTATGTACACACCTACTTGCACGTCACCCAACTCAGCGCAGTTACAGGAACCTAACACTAGAACAAACCTAAGTGTGTACAGGAAACAGTGAAGGAATTAGTTGACTTAATTAAGATAGTTCAGAAATGAAATACAATGGGTCATTAAAAATTATAAACTGAAATATCTACAACATATTTTTCAGTAAAAACAGTACATTACATGATGTCATTTGGGGGTAAACTATCTGAAAATCTATTTCAAAAAGCTCACTATAGCTTTTCTATAGTAAGGTTGTGGGTCATTTTAAAGGTCCTCTTGACACTTTTTTGTGTTTAAAAAATTACAGGAAGTGTATATCATGTTTGTTACTCTTTTATTTGGCAAAGACTTATTGGGCACTACTATGCACTAGGCTTCATCAAAAATGCTAACGAAACAAGAGTGAACCACACCGATAAAAACCCTTGCCCTCATGAGCTCATGCTCTAGTCGGAAAGACGAACGTGACAGTTAAGCTTGATTATTTACTTGACTGACTTCAGAGACACCTAGAAGATTATTAAAGCACACTTCTGGTGTGCTTGCTGGGTCATAGAGACATGTCCTTCAAACCACATCTGGCCCCTGGTCCCTTCCTCTATGCTCTTCTTCTGCCCTCTGCTTCCTAGATGCCATGAGCTCTGTAGTTTTCCTCTGCTACACCCTTCCACCAGGATGTCTCTGCCTTGGAACCAGCTGACCATGGTCTGCAATCTCTGACACCAGGAGCTAAAATAAACCCTTTCTTCTTAGAGTTGTGAGTATTGAGTATTTTGTCTCAGCAATGGGCAACTTGACCAATACAATGGACAATGATGAAAATGTTAACACATGTAAAACATACAGTATACTAAAATGATTGAAAAGATTAAATAGAAAAAGAGATAAGAAATATGGAGAAGGGTAAAATTTTAGATCTGGCTCTTTCAGGTCCTCAGTAGGAAAGTGACTCTGAGTGAAGACCTAAAGGAAGCAGGGAAGTTGTGCAGTAGCTGGGAAGGAGACTTTTGGGAAGAGGGACCAGCATGTGCAAAGGCCCTGTGGTTCAAGAAACAGCAAAGAAGCTAGTTATTGGGAATGAAAAAAAATAAAGGCAAGAAAGGTAACAAAACCAGATTAGGATGAACCATTTAGGTCATAGAAAACCCTATGCCTTTGTGCCAAGTAAGAATAGCAGTTACTGGAGGGCTCTGATCTGAGATTAACATGATTTAATTTGTTTCTTAACAGAATTGCTCTGGCAGCAGAGGGTACAGGTGAAAGCAATAAACTCACTGCTATGTACTAAATGTTTCTGTCCCCCCAGAACTCATATGTTGAAGCCTTAATCCCCAATGGGGCAATGTCTGTAGTTGGAGCCTTTGAGAATTGGTTAGATTATGAGGGTAGACCCCTCATAAGTGAGATTTGTGCCTTTTTAGGAAGAGACATGAAGGAGATGATCTCTCTCCACCAAGGGAAGCTACAACAAGAAGCCATACATCTGCACACCAGGAAGTGGGTGCTTGCCAGGAGACACATTAGTCAGAACCTTGGTGTTGGCCCTTCCAGCCTCCAGACTGTAAGGAATAAATTTCTATTGCTTAAACTACTCAGCCTATGGTATTTTTTATAGTAGCCCAAAAGGACCAAGGCAAATTTGGCATTAAAATTTTAAACAAACACTTATTGTGATAATCCAGATGAGAAATGATAATGGCAATGGGGCAACCATGCAAAACATCCAAAAATTAGGCATATTTTGAAGACAGACATGATTAATTGCATTTGATAACCAGACATGAGTATGAAAAAGAAAAGAACCAAGAATTATAGCAATAGTTTTTATCTGATCCAAAGAATAGAAGAATTGTCATTAAATGAGATAAGAGAACAAATAGGAGGATTTAATGGGAACACCAGGAGGTAAATTTCAAATTTACAAATTGCAATTTGACCTCTTTTTTTTTTTTTTTTGGTTTTTTTCCGGTACTGGGAACCAAACTCACGACCTTGCGCTTGCCTGGCAGGTGCTTTTGCCGCTGAGCTAAATCCCCAGCCCCACAAATTGCAATTTGAGATATTTGCTGACAACTACATGGAAATATCCACTCGGCAGTAAGATTTGTGAGTCTTGAGTCCTGGGAAGAGGTCCACACTAGATAGCAGAGTTGTGAGTGTTAACTGCATTCCAATCACTCTTAAAGCCATGACATAAAAAGAAAAGAGATTCAAAGACTGGGCCCAGAGCCAGTCTGTTACGGTTTGTGTCTAGATGTCCCCCCACTGCCTCATGCACATTTAGACGGGGCTTTTTCGGATGTAGCTGAATCTAGTGTTTGTGATTGATTCACAGTTCAATGGTGGGATTAACGGTGGTGATCACTGAATCAGCCCACTGATGCAGGCCTAATCCCTGCAGAGTGGATAAGATAAAAGAGGCAGAAAGAAGCTTGTTTCTCTCTCCCCTGTTGCTTTTGCTGTCTTCCACCACCATGAACTGTTGCCCTCTGCCATGTGCCACCCTGCCTTGAAGCCAGCTGATTAGGGACTGAAACCTCCACAGACTGTGCATTAAATAAACCTTTCTTCCCTTAACTTTGGGTGTCAGGTATTTTGTCTCAGCAATGAGAAAAGTAACTAAGACACAGTCCAATAATTGAAAGCCAAGGGAATGAGAAAAACAGCAAAAGAAACTAGCTGGACGTGTAAGATATAGACTAGTCATGTGCCATGACCTGGAAACCAGCAGAGGAAAGTGGTGCACGGAGAGAGATCACCGTGGCTCACACCACTGGCGAGTCGGGTACAGGAGACCGGCCACGTACCTGGCACTGTGCGGCACTGCTGACCTTACTGAGCTGCAGTCACGGAGCCCATGAAAGAGAGAGGAGAGAAATCGGAGGGAGGGAGCTCATGCGTACATCTGAGGAGAGCAGGAGGACAGGCACCAGGAACGTTGGTTTATCATTTTTAAGACGGGGTAAGTAAAACAAATACCAAGTATTTATTGAGAAAGATAGTTAAGCCATACATAGAATTTTTACTATATATCTGAGGAGCTATTGTTCTCAGTTTTGTCTCCACAGTCGCCCCTTGTCAGAACTAAGTAGGAAAACCCTGGGATCCATGAATTTCTACCTCACACCTGATGAGGAATGTTCAGAGTGGTCTGACTTCCAAGTATTTTCATAACTAACTTCTGAATAAATGCATCCTTCAGTGGGCTATCCTGCCACTTGAGGATTAAACCTCTATTTAGAGGAAATCTTCAAATTATGCATATAACATGTATTTGCATCCCTAATCCATAGGACACAACCACACTTAGGACAAGTCCGTGCATGGTGAGACGCCTGATGCTGCTGAGAAATGAGGTTGGGGAAAGTTTTCAAGATGCCAAAGATACCTGACATCAATGGGCTTTTTTCCAACTTGACTTTTATGGCCAAATCATGCAAAGCATTCAAAGTATGTGCAAAGACATATCTTACACATTGTAGAAGCTAGTAGAACTGCCAACTGAACTGAGAAACATATTACAGTATCCTTACTGTAATTTCTCGTCCAGCTCTGCAATTTTCCTCATTAATTCTTGGTTCTCCTTGACTGCAGTGCGAGCGGTGGTTTCCGTTCTGATTTTGGACGTGGCAAGTGCTGCTACTTCTTCTTCGAGTCCCTGGACTCTGTCTCTCAGGGAGGCGAGCAGAGAGGACTTTCTGGCGTTGTTTTCTTTGTAGCGCTCCATTTCAGCCTTCAGCTCTTGACAGCAAACTTCTTTAGAAAGTATCTTGGAGCGCAGGTCTCGAAGCTAACGTGAAAGAAGTGTAAAACAGGGGCAAGAAGGAAAGTGACTGAGTACTAGCTGGAACAGGTTTAAGAAACCCAAAACCAGAATTTAGAATCTCAACTTTTATTCATGACTTCACCCAACTTTATTTTTCTTTTCTCACATTTATATGCATTACCAAAGAGGACGTTTTGCCTTAAGAGAGGGCTTCACGTTCCATCTTTTTCAAAACCAATTAAGCAATGCCTTAGGGTGATTTGGTCTCACTCAGGACATATTTGTGGTGGGTATTACAAAAAGCAATAAAATATTTTGCAGTGGTAATGCATTTTCTGTATCAGTATTGCTGCTTATTGAACAATGATTCAAGGAAACTAGAAGCCACACTGTCATTTCTTGGCCACCACTGTTTCCCAAGTAAATATAAAATATTCAATATATTACTATATTTCTGTAGACCGTAATTGTGGGTAACAAAGATAAATAATATTCAGATTTCTGGGAAAAATAAAAGAGCTAAGGAAAACCCCTTACAGCATTTATCTGAAGAAAACATTTTGACATTTATATGTTCTGTGGCCATTTCATCATCGGTGTCATCATTCAGCAGGGCCCTGGCAACCTCCGTGACATTGTTAGTCACCTCCCAGGCCAGCCTAGATGCATGGGAGCACTGAACTGTGAGTGAGTCCAGGGAGACTCCAGAGACTCCGTCCAGATCTGATCTAGCCAGAGGGAGATGCACCACAAACATCCTACTGGTTTCCTCAGCCAGCCAGAATTCTCACAGGAAAAAAATTCAGGACTCCCTCCTAACAGCTCCCGACTGCAAGCAATCCTCACTAAGGAAGGTATTCCCAGAGAAGCCAGAAGTTCCCCAAGCCCATGTGGCCTCAACCCAAAGTCCTCAGGCACCCCCAGATCGCTCAAAGCTACAGATCTACACTAAGACCTAAAATCCAGACCAAGCCCCCTTGCTTTTAGCAGGAATTTGAGAGGATATGCACACAAGAGGATAGGTATAAACTTGGCCAAATTGGGTCCTACCATTCCATTTATAATCCCTTCGGCTCTGCTTCACTCTGTAAGATGCTAGAAAGACTCATTTCTGAGTGGTGAAGGTACACGATCTTACCTCAGACTGAGCACTTTCAAATTTGACCAAAGTTGCTGCAAGTTCACTTCGAACATTTTCAGCCACATTCCAGTAGTGGTTTAATCGCTCCCGAGTGACTGGGACTTCCAAGAGATGATCGCAGATTTCCTGGTAGAGTTCCCCGAAGAGACAAAATATAAAGAAAGTTAAACACACCTTTCTGAGCAGCTGCGCTAAGACTTAGAAGTACTGTGTTTCAAATCTGTTGGAAATGCTACCCAGAAATGTATTGTGTTCAAATCATTTCATTCTTGTTCTCAAACTTCAAAGAGAGCCAAGAGGCAGCCAAGGAACTACTGATGTGCCTTCTCCAGGCAGTGATGAGGTTTGGCGTCTAAGAATTGGCCTTTGGCAACCTGGGCAGCATAGCAAGACTCCGTCTATTATGAGAAAAATAGGGGGCTACAAGCAGAGATCAAGGGTCAAGAACATGAGAAGACCCTGATTTCAGCCCCCAGCACTGAAGAAAAACAAAGGGAAGAGGATGGGAAAGGGAAAGAAGGAAGGAAGGAAGAAAGGGAGGAGGAGAGAGAGAGGTTGATCCTTGCTACCTATAAAATTATCTTTGTGTAACTCAAATGCTATCTGACCTCTGCCCAGAACCTGAAAGAACAGAGAACTATGCAGCGGGGCGGGGGTGGAAGGGGGGGGCTACAGCCTGTAACTACAAGACAACTTTCATGGTTCTGTCTCCAGGCTGGGAAGATGATCCCCAACTCTCTAGTCTCATTCGTCCATCAGAGATCAACTGTGAAAGGTGTCTCCTTCCTTGCAATTCGATCAGCCTTGTATTCAATCTCACCCTCTCTCCTGGGGCCTTAGAGGAGATTCACAGAAACCAAGAGATTAGAGACAGTGGAGGTGCAGGGAATACCGCACCCCTATACAAGGGACCAACTCGCAGCTCCACTGCTGGTGCCTTGTGCAAAAACATGGATTCCAACAGGGTGTGGTGTGCCACGCCTGTGATCCCTGCATTTGGGAGGCTGAAGCAGGAGAAGCACTGTGAGTTCAGGGCCAGCCTGGGCTACATAGTGGGTTCAAGGCCAGCCTGGATGAATGAATGAATGAATGAATGAATGAATGAATGAATGAATGAATGAACAGACAGACAAATAAATAAGACACACGAGAAAAACATCGGCTTTTGAAGAACTGTGGAAGAGGTTGCATAAAGGAGTTTCCTGAAATACCTCCATGATCTCAGGAAACACAGTGGTAAAACCACGGCAACGACCAGAGGCTGCTCCCCCGCCAGAGGCTACTGTGTGAACCGCTCAGGAATGCAGAAGTCGTCAGAGAGCCCCTAGCCTGACAACAAGCACTGCCGTCCACAGAAGGCCAAACAAAACCTTCTGGGCGCTGAATAACACCAGTGTTTGCCAGTCACACAAGTCTAAGGCAGATGTGTTCTCCAGGGGAGAAAGCCTGACGAGTTTAACTGAGGCATGCATCACGGAGCCGTGTCCCGCACAGCCCACTTCGGGAGTCAGAAAGGCTTCTCCACCCCAGCCACTACAGCCGCGTTTCCTAAGTGAGACCACATGAGGAGGCTGAACACGTAGGAGCATTTCAACCATCGTATCCATGGCCCACCATTTTATAAAACCCAAGAGGTGCCTGTAAGCCTAGCACTTAGGAGGCTGAGGCAGAAAGATTGTGGAAATTTCAAGGTCAGCCTTCAGTGAGAGCCTGTCTCAAAAAAAAAAAGAAAGAAAGAAAATAAGTTCCCCAAGGATTTTGATGACTTCTTTCAATCACATTTTTTAGGAAATTATGTAGTGACATCATTATTTTATATCTGATTCTAATGAGAAATATTGTATCTGCTGACTATATTATTAATAGCCAGTCAAGACGGTTGAGAAATGGCCCTTCACTTCATGAAGTTACAGTCTAAAGCAGAACAGTAGCCAAATCATTAGCATCCTCAAATGTTCATGGTGGATAAAGATGATATTAAATTACAGGCCCGGGGTGTAGTTCAGTGGCAAAGCATTTGCCTAACACCTGTGAGGTCCTGGGTTTGATATTCAGCACCACAGGTGAAATACAGAAACAAGTATAAATACCCTCTGACCCATCAATTCACTGTCCAATGACTTCCCCCTAAAAAATACACATGTATAAAAATATACTCACTATCCTATAATTTGTAAAAGACAGGACAGGATTATTGAAATGATATAAATTCCTGTGGACAGAGCATCACTAAATAAAGCCATTTCCAACTTGTGCAACGGGAAGTATGAGATAGATAATTATTTTGGGATCCAAGGTATATCAGTGAATGAAAATAAGAAATTATAGGCTTATAGTTTAACTTTTTTTATACTTATCTTCATAAAGTGCACACAGGGGGAGGAAAATGCCACTCAGTGTACAGTATTTCCTACATGTATAGTTAGAAACAAACAAAGAAGGTCTTAGAGAATCCACATTACCCCATGACATACTTACCTTGGGTGTAGCAGGGAACCCTGGTATCGAGGCTAGGGTAGGGGAGCAGCGGTTTAACTTTTTCTAAAAAGATATATTTATGCATTATTTGCACAATTAGATGCAGTTTTAGAGGAAAAAATATTAAGAAGTATTTTAGCTGTGGTTATCTCTTAGTTATAGGGCCAGATTTTATTTTCTTTATTATAAGTTTCCTTATTTTCCAAATCCTTTACAGTGATCACATATTACTCTCAAATTCAGAATAATGCCCCTTCTTAAATTAAAAATAAAAAGGGACCAGCACAGATAAAAATCCAGCAACGCTGCTATATATTTATGAGGAACACGATGACAAAGAAGCCACCGTAGGTAACACAAGCTGGACACGTGGGAGAGCTGACATTTCAGGGCGCTCTGCTTAATGAAGCCCTCCTAGAGTCTGTAAAATTTTTTGAACATTCTTCAACTTTTCCTGTAAGTATTAAACAATCTTCACTTCTTTAAAAAAAAAAAAACCTTTTTTCTACTCTCTTCAAAATGGCAAGATAAGAACTCTTTCATTTGTCCTCACACGAGGACAATCTAAGTTATTAGATACCTCTCAGCTAACCCACGAAGCAATTTTATATTAATTTCAGAGAGCCAACTACATATGATTCAATTCTGCTGCTGATATTATTATGATAATGATTGAAATTGCCTCACAAGGTGGCTCATAGTCTTTTCAGAATAAAGGATGATTTCATAGTTCAGTAGCATAAAGCAAAGATAAGCTTCTTCATAATTTAGTACACAATGTGCACAATTATCTGACCTGTGTGGACAATGGCTCAGACCAGTCTTGCTACTATGGTATTTAGTTTTCTCATTATCCCATGGGGGAAGAAAAGATGATGAAGAAGAAGAAGAAAATCACTGCCTGCCTCCGACACACAAAAGCTTCTTAATCCGTTCCGCTCTCGTCTTGTCCCATAACTGATCCTCCCTGTGCCCCAGCATCATCCCCTGCTGCCCTGCGCAGTTGCCTGAAGACAGACTTCCACTACGGAATACTTCCTCTCTCTGTCCCTCTCTCTCTTTCGCTCTTTCTCTCTACACACTTCCAGCGCTGCCCAGTGATCAACCCCCTCTGAGACCCCCTCCCCTGTCATCCAACTTCTTCACCCAAGTACAGTTTCTTCCTCAATCTGCAGTGAATAAATTATCTCAAAACTGCGTCTCTTCTACCTAATCACTCCTCCCATTTTGTTTATCATTTCTTCTCCCTACTTAGAAGAATTTTCCTGAGCCTCCTGCCTTCCTTACTTTTTCCACCTGCACTGTAGCTTCATTGATAATATTCTAACTTTTACAGGGAAAATGACATACACAGGGCCCGCCAAAGAAGTGAATACTCACTTCAGGCAAAGAAAAACTGGTATAAATATTTTAATACTAAATTTAGAGAGACATCATGAGATTGATACAAGTCACCTTTGACCCCTTCAAGAGGTGCTCAAAGTGGTGGCCATTAACTTCCAGACATTTATTGTTTTTCTTTGCCTGGAGTATGTCTACATTTTTTTTGGCAGGTCCTGCATACATCACCAAGTGACCCATATTATATACAATTTTTATACTGTCATGTAACAGTTCAATAATAGATTTAAATTCTTAGAAAGTGATTTTCATGTTAAAATTAATTTCTTAATTAAGTAAAAATATAACTGGAGCCAGGCATGGTGGTGCACACCTCTAATCCCAGCGCTTAGAAGGCTGAGGCAGGAGGATTGCTGCAAATTCAAGGCCAGCCTGAATTACAAAGCGAGACTCTGT